CTTACGTCAACTATTCGCAGTGGGGGTATCATAATTAATAAGGAGCACAGAATTCCTATCCCTTGTTTGATAAAGAGGAAAAGGGTACCTGTCAGCACTAGCAAGGGTCGGAATATCATGACGGCCACCTTGCCTGTCTATACCTGTCTATGGATGTAACTGAACCCTGTATTCACTTAAACTCCATTGAATTCCAAGGTGGCGTACATAGTTGGCCGCTCAAGTTCAAGAAACTATAGCTACCGCTGCAATGCAGGGGACTTGGGATGACCTAGGTAATGATGTATCATTCGTTCTGGAAAAGTATCCCGCAGTGCCAAGTCCCCCTTTTCACTATACCTGTACGATCATAGGCAGGGGCCACCTACCTATTACATCCTTACCTTTATACTACACCACACCACCTCTCCAGTTTTATCTCTCCATAGCAACCACGAGGAATTCGCTGGTTAACTTTTGCCGCGTATTGATCCTAACTCCCAGACACCGCAATCGAAGGCCAGAATTGATCTTGACCTGGCTTGAGGCCTTGATGATACCTCAGAATAATCGAAGGGAAAGAAACCCACGTAGCTCCGGTTGATAGTCATTGTGCTCCGCTATGGTCTTGTTCAGGGAATAGCCCATAGCTTCCCTATAAAGCACGGATGTGGCACATCGAGAGCTGTAAGTAAACCATAGATTCAGTTCCTAAAGATATCGACGGAGCATGTCTATATTCTCAAGCTCATGTATGCCGGCGTAAATCATGGTATTCGAGCTGCCGAGCAAATAATGCATCCCAAAACGCCCCACTCACCATCATTCTTTTCGTGTTACTGCGTTTGTCCATTTCTCACAAGTTCCCTCGAAATGGAAATATATGGTGTCGTTGTCAATCTTCCCTCGCTTAGCTATGGTCGCGACATAGGGGCAAGATAGGAGAGCTTGGACTATATGATTTGGTAATCGGCACCTAGCGGATTAACGCATATCATATACCTGTAAAGCTCTTCTGCTCCCTAGATGAGATCGCTTCTTCCTTCTATATAATAATGATCCGAGTTAGCAGAACCCATGCATTAGATCACATATGCAGCGTCACGATTCTACCTTACGGTAGTAAAGAGGCCAGTTGCGGCACGCATCCACTTATTGATGAAAGGGGTTCCTGTCGCTGACTTAAGTGCCACTGTCGCACGCGGACATCTTTCAAGTCTAAGGGGGCTTCATCAGCATCATTATCCGCTGATAAAGGGAAGATTACTACCCTGTTCAGTATAGGAGTTCATGTAAGTTGGGTATGCAACAAGTTTCGTAGGGGCTGAGGGGCTGAGGGGCTATGCAAGTGACCTAACCCACAAGCACTGCAGGGCAATCAAGAATCTCAGCTATGTGCAGCCTACGTGAAGTAGATGGATTATGCGACAGTTTGAGCATTGAACAGGACCGGTACCTCTGATACCCATGCACGAATGCATACGCATGTGCTACAGCAACAGGAATTTGAGGAGACAATGGACAAGCCTGGGCGACCGAATTCTCGATTAATAATTGATATTGCCGGAGTAATTACGTGATGCGTTCCGTACCCATGTCTTCCTCCTTCCTATAGGAAAAAGTACCTAGTGGCCCTAGAACCTTATAGTATCGACTATACTGAAGTACGGAATATGATTGGCTAAAAGAAAAGAACGGGATTCTTTCCATGCTTGAATGCTCGGAATTCTTATTTTATAGAATCTACAATACTACCTGCGTTATGAGCGTGAAGAAGGCCTTGAACGTCATTTGCCTACTAGCCCGCACTACTTATAAGCGCTAACTAAGCTACTGTGCCCCTATTCACGTTGGCAGCTGCTGACAAACGCCTCATGAGCCTGTACATAGTATATGTCAATACTCGTTCATGAAACAAGGGAATTGGTCAGCTATCTGGTTGATTCGGTCAATTTATATAAAATTTGGGTTATCCCTGGGCTACTTAATATCTGCCCTACTCTCTTCTCATTCCGACAGAGACTAACTAATATCATACTCATCACCAAATCTCTCGCAGTCGCCATAAATTACCACGGAGACTTTATATCATCGCATCCAACATGTCTTCAACAACGACAAGCCAGCTGCCGGAAAGCTACAAGGGGCTCTACTTCACCTCATCCTCTGCCCCCCCTGAGGTCACCTCCTTCCCCGCGCCTACAGTAGATGTCGGGTCAGTGATCATCAAGCCATTATACTGCTGGATACCAGGATACATCAACGATGTCTACTCCAACAGCAACCCGCGCGGGTATCCTGTCCCCTTCCCGGCTGTGGGCGGCCAGAACGCCGTCGGCCGTGTCGTTGCGGTCCCCTCAGATGCAGCGAAGCTGAAGGTCGGCGACCTCGTGATCGTCGACCCTACAATCCACCCGCGGGACGACCCCACCCAGATCATGCTCCTCGCGTTCGTCGCCCCCTCGGCGGAGATGCAGGGCCTCGCGAGGGGCGTCTGGACCCACGGCACCTGGGCGGAGCTCCTCAAGGCGCCCCTCGAGACCGTCCACCGCGTCGACGAGGCGGCCCTGCAGAAGCACGGCGCCACCCCGCGCGACCTCGTCTTCGTCGGGCTGATGTCCGTGCCCTACGGCGGCCTCCGGGACGTCAACCTGATCGCGGGCGAGACCGTGCTGATCAGCCCGGCGACGGGCAGCTTCGGCGGCGCGGCCGTGCACGTGGCGCTCGCCATGGGGGCCCGCGTCATCGCCATGGGCCGCAACGAGAAGGTCCTGGGCGAGCTCCGGGACCTGGCGCCGGGGCGGGTCGAGACGGTCAAGCTCAGCGGCAGCTGGCAGGCGGACCACGCCGCGATCGCGCAGTACGGCCCCGTCGACGTCTTCCTCGACATGACCCCGCAGACCGCCACCAACACCGACCACATCCGCGCGGGGCTGTTCTCCCTCCGCCACGGCGGCCGCATGAGCCTGATGAGCAGCGTCGCCGAGATCGCCATCCCCCCCGCGTTCCTCGAGGCCATGGCCGTGACCATCCGGGCGACGATGATGTGCACCTACAAGCAGGAGGAGGATCTCGTCAAGCTCGTGCAGTCGGGCGTCCTGAAGCTGGGCGAGAAGGCCGGCTTGAAGATCCAGGGCGCCTTCAAGATAGAGGAGTTCGACAAAGCGTTCGAGGCGGCGGAGAAGGAGTCTAGTGCTGGCCGAGCTTTCGTGTTCACCCCTAATGAAGAGTGAAAGGCGACGGTACAGATTTGGCACTGATCTAAATAGTCACCTGTTGCATTTTACCGGGCAATGAGATAATAGAAGAAGCAATGCAGTTAAGCGCAATTGTAAATATTTGTATACACTTATCAGAGCATCATTCGATCCGAGCTTCACTTTATTGCAATACCTGCCTATACCCTTTTTGTGACAGACTCATCACGCCATACAGGGGCACACCACAATCCAAGAGCCTTAGGAATTTTACCATTTCACTGTGACGGCACTGGTGGGTGCCCTGCCTCGCAGCTACGTCGTCCTAACATTCGACGGCCCTGGCCGGGGCATAGTGGTTAGGCGTGAAAGGCATCGGCTACACCTGCGCGGCGACTTTGATGTCGTGTTGCAAGCCATCCTTGATGGATTTTGGGTGCATGCAGCTCGCTCGCTGTTCTATTACAACTTTGTCGCGATATAGGGGCTACAATAAGAGAGCTTAGATTACATAACCAGGTAAGTGATCTTCTAAGTGCGACATTATAGCTATTACATAATGTGGGCGGCCGGATCTATCATACGGGGTGGCCGGTTATGGGGTGATTGGCCTTAGGGTCTGCCATAACCACCCATCCATTTATTTTTTTTAAACCGTAGGTAATCATTATGGGTTAATAGGTAACCATTGAAACGCAATTTCCCATTACTAATTAATGCTATAAACTAATAATTATTTATTAATTTATAGCATTAATTAATAAATATCCATTATTAATGGTTATTTATTAATTATTATTATAAACCAATAAATAATTATTTACGAATAATTAATTATTTATAAATAATTATTTATATATATCGCATAATTATAACATATACGAAATTAAATAAAATTAATTATAATAGCTTATATTATAATAATACGTATTAATTTACGTATTAATTACGATACATTTCGTTATATAACTGTTATAATTAATTAAACTTAATAATTAAATAATTAAAACCTTATAGCTATGTTTTTTTTCGTTTAAATTTATAAAAAACATAATATTTTAATTAATATTATCGTCTTTTTCGATATTTTTAATTAAGTTTAATTTAAATAATAATATATCTAGTTATAAATCCGGATTTATATAAAAGCTAAGTATTACGATTAATTTTAATATTATAAATAATATAATAGCCATATTTATGCCTTTTTAATAAAAACGGCCCTTATTATCGATAATTCAATTAATTATAATATCCGATTAATTTTTAACATAATTATGAAATAGGATTTTGTTTTATTTATTAAATTTTTTATTCCGAATTATATAATTTTAATTAATTATTTCTTTAATTATTTCGGTAATAATTAAAAAATAAATAACATTACGAATAAATAAATATAAATAACGAAATAAGCATCGATTTTAATACCGGCATTAATAATGCGTTAATTTATTACAAATATAAAGTTAAAAATTAATACGGGAATTAATACGACGATTAATACGGAAATTAATACTGATACGTAAAAAAGGTGGGGACCAACCAGTTAAGGTTAATCCAGGTTATCTAGCTATATATACCCTGTATGTATATATGTATATAGCGTACACCACTTGGTTGGACCATGCTAGGCCCCCCTAGGCACCCGTATCAAAGTGCCGGGGACGAAATAACCTCTATCGACCTCGATAGTCTTATTGCCAGATTGGGCTTAGGGCCGGAGCGCGCATTCCCAGGTGTGGTATGATAGAATGGGCTCGACGGGCTTATCGCCAATTGGGCTTATCGCTAAAGTCAGCTCGCCTCTCCTAGAATTTTTGGTATCTCGTGCGGGAATCGAACCCGCCACTTTGCTGTGACAAGCAGCACTTCTTTCCAATAAGAGAACGAGATGCGTGGATCCTAGTGGCTGGGGCCCTTCCTTTATAATGGCACTGTACCGCTGCGCTACCAGACCGGAAATGCTACCATTTGATACGTGAAAAAGGTGGGGACCAACCAGTTAAGGTTAATCCAGGTTATTTAGCTATATATACCCTGTATGTATATATGTATATAGCGTATACCACTTGGTTGGACCATGCTAGGCCCTCCTAGGCACCCGTATTAAATACGTAACATACCGAATTTTAAGGGTTCGTTTTTTTAAAGCAGCATTAAGCTTAAGAAACTTTTTTTTTTATCCGTAAAGCTTTAAAAGGTTTATTTATAAAAAAAAATGCAAAAAATTAATTTTATGGGACATTAACCATGGCAATATATTCGAATATTATAGGGTTAATTTAATTTTAATTAATATTGCATTTTATCTTTTATCGTTATAATATTTAATTATTACTTTTTAAAAAAGTTATAAAAAAGCGCGAAATCGATATTTAAAGGATTGCAACTTAAAAAAAAGCCCTTAAATAAAAAGTTGTAATGTTTTAATTTAAAACCGATAACGACCTAACGATATAGCTTATATAAGATTAATATACGTATTAATCGGCGTATTAATTATTTATATACTTTATGCTATTAAATTATGCATTTTTTATTTAACTTTTTAAAATTAAGGTATTTCCGAAAACGAATTTATTAATATATAACCTTAATAATTTGCCGCATAAATTAATTATAAAACTAAATAAAAATATTATCCGAATCCGCATTTATTAAGATATATTTAAATCGTAAAGTTTAAATATTCAATTAATTTATTTAATAAAAAAGCAATAAAATACATAATCGAATAAATACCTTTATAACGTTTTTGCGTAATATAGCAAATTCCGCGTTCCTTAATTTTAAAAGCTAATTTGCCTTTAATTTCTTTAAAAACAGCCCAATAACGTTATTTATAAATAAAATAATTCGATTAAGAATTGCTGTAATAACTTATCGTTTACGGATAATATCTTGATAAAAATAATAATCTTTTTTTCTTTTATTCCATTCGACGGATTCTTAATTTTCCTGATTCGTAAATTGAACCGTAAATGCGATTCCATATTTCTGGGCCATTTATAATAAATATTCGCCTTTTGTCTTTTTATAAGGAATTAATATACCGATTAATACGTTAATAAATAATATTTATAAATCGTTTTTAATTTATTAATTAATAATTATTATTTAACGTTGCATTTTATCGTTATTTGCGTTTGGATTGTTTTTTATTTATTTTTTTCGAATACGTCGTTACTTGGCCTTTATAATAGCTTTATGTTTTTCGATTGTTTTTTGCTTTTCGCTTAATCTGGTCGTACGTTTATGCGCCTTTATAATATTAGGATTACTTAATAGCTTATTATTAAGCTTACGTTGCTTAAATTAATTAGCCAATAAAGAATTAAAATTATTTCGCTTTTACGGGGGCGCTATATTATTGCAAAGCAAATTAATATACGGATTAATACGTAATGATTCGCCAAAAATATAAATACGAAAATATTTCCAAAATGCATTAAGCAAAGTAATAAATTTAATTAAAACAATTAATGCAACCGTAAAAACCATAATATTAGGTAAAACTTATAAAGAAATAAAGTTTTTAAAAAAAACCTAAAAACCTTATTTTTATGCCCGAAAAAAAGGAAACTCCTATTAAAATAAGTATTAACAAAATGCTTATAAATTATTTTAATGTTATAAATCGAAAATTAACGTATTATTGGCGATATAGGAATTTCCGAAAATTTTTGTTATTAAAAGAAATAAGTTACGGTTATTACGGAACGAAACGCATTAATATAAAATTAAAGTAAGTCCATCGGTTAAATTTCGGGTATTCATTTATTTCATAAATACGTTTTAATATTTAAGCAATTAATTAATAACAAATAAAAATTAATAATTAATTATAAAAAGTAATTTATATTTATTATCTTAAATAAACTTTTAATAAAATGGAAATCCTTAGGTATAATCGTAATTCTTTTCGTATATATAGTACATAATTAATTATATATAAATATTAAAATTAATTTTTTTTATCGCTTTTTATAAAGCAATTAATGCTAATACTTAAATACGAAACTGAACCTTTTTTGTATTTGTTATTATTTCCTTTATTAGTTTTTAAAAGGGCAGCCTTAAAATATAAAAATTAATTATACGTTAAAACTTTTTAATTTCGCGAAAGATAATAATTAGCATTTATTAAATCGTATTAATTAACGTATTAATTATTTAAAACTTATTACCTGGCTTAAAACGACGTCGACGCTATTAATTATTAGGTTTAGCATGAGCTTTACGTTTAATAATTAAACCTTTTTTTGGCCTCGCTTTGATATGCGTTTTATTGAACTTACGTCCGTTTATTTTGTTAAATAATTTTCGACGTTATTAGGTAAAATGCAAGGTATGGGTTTTAATAGCGAATTTAATAGCTTTTATTATAAATGGGTTATTTTTTTTATAAATTTAAGTATCGGCGTGAATGTTTTGAATTTCCTAATTATATACATATTGCCGAAATAAAGTAATTATTAATTAAGATTCGGATATTTCCTTAATTGTTTTTTCGTTTATTTGCGGTAATATTTTTGGTTTAATAACGGGCGGCATTTTGAAATAAAGTATATAAAAAAAGGTTTAATATGTTAAAAATAAAAAATAACGCTTCAAATATATTACATTAAACGGAACTAACGTATTAATTTTATTCCGAACTAATAATATACGATCGTATACGGATAAATAAGCTTTATCCTTATAGGCAACATCCCTATAAATATTTCCTTTTTATTTGCTTTATCGGTATAAAAAATGGAAAAAAAAGAAAATGCTTAATTAAATAATTTCTTATATTTTTTTTATTTTCGAAGTTATTTTCGAAATTATTTAAAAAAAGCCTTATTAATAAGTTCATATTATAACATTATATTGGCAAATCCTAATAATAAATGCTTTCTTTAGGATATCGACGATTTATTTTCCGAACGAAAAAATGAAATAAACCAAAAACGGAGCTTTTTAAACGAATTTAAATTAAGCCCTTTTAAAAGAAACATAAGTTTATTATTCGGTCCCGAAATAAAACATATAATATTAAAACGTATTAGTACTTTCGATTTTATCGCTAATATTTTCCGCGAATTAAATATTTCGAACGAAAAAAATGCATCTTATAACGCCAAAAAAAAAATGAATTTCGCATAGCTGTTATGGGTAATTTATTTTTATCGAATAATTCGAAACGAACCGGCTTTATATTAAACGTAATAAAAAATTTAATATATTATTAATATATTAAAATTATAAAGAATAAGTTTTAAAAATAATAAGTAACGATATTTAAATATAAAATAATAAAGGCAAAAAAAAACGAACGTATAAAAAAAATAAAGAAAATAGCTAAAACTAATCGAAAAAAAGGCCGGATTAAAAATATCGAATAAATATATTCGATGGATTGCATTTTTAAAACTAAATAGCGAATTAATATATAAAAAGAATTTAACGAAAAAGCAACAATTAAAAAAAAGCGGCTTATGGTTATATATAAACAATATCGTATTGCTTTAAACCATTTTAAAAATGTTGCGATAACTTTAAATAACGGCATATTTTTTTTACGAAATTACTAAGTATTAACGAAATATAAAAAAGCCGCAAAAGCCGCTAAACGAATAACGACAAACGGTATATTAATATATTTATCGTTAATAAATTCCGTATTAATCCGCATATTAATTATTATATATTAAAAATAAAATAATTTATGATTTAATAAAATATTATTAATCGAAAACCGTTTAATTTTAAATGTATGGATTTTTATATGTTTATTATTTAATCGCATTATCGATTTCCATTTTAAAGCCTTTATTAATTATTTGTATTTTGGTTTTTCGTTATTTTTATTACGTATATTGCAAAAGCGTTATAATAAATATGCCGAAGCGATCGTTAAAAAAAAACTTAAGGACATTATTAAAGATTTTTATATTAACGTAACGCATAATATATAAACCAATTCCGGGCTTATATGGAGTTTTTAAGGTATATACGTATATTTCGTTAATAAAAAATGGAATTTTAAGTACGTTTTTATCGATATATATCCATGCGATAATAAAAAAGCAAAACTAAATATTAAAAAGATTTATAAAATATTAAACAAATACGATTTTGCCATACGGTTTTAAATAATTACAATAAACGGCGGGCCTAGCTTTTCGATGAAATATATACGAAAATTCTTAATTAAAAACCATAAGCGATTAGGTATAGATTTTAAATAAATCGAAAACGTAAGCCATTTTTATTGCTTTTTTTATATATTATAAATAATTAATGAAAACATTTATAAAGAACTTAGCGTTAAATAAGTTAAAAGGTTCGCAAAAAATGCAGGGGAAAAAATGAAAAAGAACGAAAACGGCAAAGTTAAAGTATTTAAGATTATTTTTAATAGCGTAATTAATATTTTAAAAGGAATACGTATTTAATCCCATTTTGCGTATTAATTTACGTATTAATTTACGTATTAATCTAAATTCTAGGTACGATAAATAATGACGTATATTAACCTTAATACCAAACGTTAAAAAAATTACGGCCATCGAATAAAAGTTTATAAATAATAAGCTCTTATAATTAAATCGTTATTTAAAGCTTATTCGTAACGTTCGTATAAAATGGAATTTTATTATATTAATGTTAATTCGAATATATGTTTTATGGATAATAATTAAAAAATATATATTGGAAAAATATTTAGAAAAAAAATTAAAATTACGGAAGCGACATTATAAATCCTAAGTTATATTATTAATATTATTAAAGTTTTTATTTATTTAATAAACCTATTCGGTTTTAGCAAAAAATGCAATATTAATTATATATTTAAAAGTTATAAACTGGTAATTTATTATTTAATCGTTTATAAAAATTATGTTACG